CCCCAAAACCCCAAAACCCCAAAACCCCAAAACCCCATATCAAACAGAAATCTTAAGATAAATAAATTTTATTAAATAAACTTAAGTTTATTTTAAAGAATAAGCTATAAAATATTTAAGCGTTTACTTTATTTTTAGATTATTGATTGAGTTACATCATTATAGCACAAGTAGTTGTCAAATATTAACAGAGAAGTAATTATTCATTCTTTGATCTTGCTTTACTCTTAATGCCAAATTATTTATATACTTAGTGAACACTTTCCTACTCTGCTAGAATGAATCATCAACTGACTCTGTTTATTCATTAAGATTCCCATCTTCTTCAGTAAGCAATACTTTTCTAACCTATGTCTCGTTAAGATCTGGAGATTCTTGACATGGTAAGATTACTAATCTGTCAATTGACTCATCTTGGTCTTAGTAGTGATAGTGTTTATCAAATTAAGGAGCTTTGATTATTGTCCTAGTCTCCTCATAGTTTCTTCTATCATCTTTCATTCCATCTTCAGTACTGAATAGTACTCCTTATCTAGTTATATTAGCAGTGCCCGCACTAATGAAGATTATATCTGGATTAGGAGTCTTATTAATATGATCTTTGTTTGGGCTCTGCTCATCGTATCTTACATTACTTTCAGAACTTGTGTTGCTTTTCCTAGTTTCTTCAATTTTATCTAAGATATATTAGTTTTATTGTGAATCTATGCGGCTAACAACAGAAGGAGAATCCAGCTCATAATTCTCAATGATAATATGCTGCTTCTATATACTAGTGAGTTTACTTGAAGAATCATGAATTGAATAAGCTTTTCCTTTATGAAAGATTAAATTTGATCCATTACTATTAGAGTGCACATACCCAGATTATGATTGATCCTTGAAATTTTAAATGAGAGGTGAGTTTTTCGAAGATTGAGAGTCTTATTGAATAAAGATATTAGAATTTCCGTTAGCATTTTATTGCTGTCTTCTATTCTTAATTATTGTGCCTGAACTGTATTGTGGTTGATTCAATGAAGGGTTACTATATGAAGAAGCTTGTTCATCTCTGAGAGATTTCAAAATTTCTATTTCTTTCATGAGTTACTCTTCTACTCTTTTAGTTCTCTGACTTAAGATTTCTACTTTTCCATCCTATACTGATCCTTGATTTAATCTACTTATGTCTATGTAATTATGCTGAATCTTTCCGTTACCAAAGCTAAGCTTGTTTGTGTTGGCATTACTGCTATTTTTGTTGCTCTCATTTTATTACTATATTTTAGTCAGAGTAGGAGTGCTCTAGTTCACTTCCAGAAGTCTCTTACTCATTAGCTATATCTCTTGATCAAGGCTTTCACTGGACTTCGAAACAGATATTCCATCTTGATACATTCTTGATTCATATTTCTAATCATTGTTGCTTGGGATCTAATCGAAATCGTCAAGATACTATTTGAGAAGTAGATTATCATCCTCTAGCATCTTCTCATTCATTTATGAAACTTCTAATGATTTTTGAAGCTTTTCAATTTAAATTTTAAGTTTTTCTATTTCCTCATTCTTCAATTCTACTTTTTTATAAGCATGTATCAACTAGTCCTTTAAATTATTTATCTAAGTTTTATACTCATTGAATTGCTTCCTGAGTGCTGTCTCGATACTGGAAGCATCTATCTCGAGAGTCATGTTCACCTGATTGAGGATTGTATACTACCCCTCATCTATTAGTAGGCGAACTATAGTACTTAAAGAAGTTTATTGTCTAGTCTAAGATACCAAATTTAAATTTGTTAACTTAATGTCGTATTAGAAGAAATCCTGTTCTTCTTTAATACTGTTAGAATTAGTATTATTTGTGTTGATAATAGACAAATTATTAGTCTTTCTGTCAGTCAACACGTGATCTGACTTCTAGGGAGATCCACTCAGTTGGCTGTAAGACAGCAGTTGCCTTTGAGATTTATTGTGGGAGAGTATCTATTATTGATTCTAATGGTACTGCTAGTGAATTGAATATGATTTTTGATGAGATTTGACTTATGCAGCACTCACTTTAATATTATCTTATTTGTATGGTGAAGGCTGCATCAATGAAAGATTCTTATTGTTTCTGAGCTGAGACTTTCTAAGATCTTTGAGTTTTTAATGCTGGCTAAACATATCTTAATTTGGGTTGGGCTCAATCAAGTTCTTGAAACTCTTGTTGCTCATGCCATTTGGATTATTAGTGAGGTGATTATGAGAGTTATCTTAACCCAAATATAATTGCTGCTATTATTTTACACGCATTTTGATTTCAATTTTATTTGAAAAATTATATGTATGCTATTTCTTTCTTCTTTTCTTTTATTTCCTAAGATAAATTTTACTACGGGGTTTTGGGGTTTTGGGGTTTTGGGG